CGGCCAGGGTAGCGGTTGCGGTCAGGGCAGGGGCCAGGGCAGCGGCCAGGGTCAGGGCAGCGGCCAGGGTCAGGGAAGCGGCCATGGTCAGGGAAGCGGTCAAGGGAATGGTCAGGGATGTGGTCGAGGAACGATGTGCCTGGGGTAGGCTACTTAATAACACTGATTGTATCCTGAGTGGATGGGCAATGGAATTTATTTTATAAAATTTCCTAAACCCAAACAAAACGGAGCAAATTATACCCAAGCATTCAACCCCAATCCCAATGAAGATGAAAACGTTCATTTTCTATATATATATATATATATATATATAGTTTTTTTCTTTTTAAAAACTCTTGTTAAGCATGACGTCGCATCAAATGACTCAAGAATCAGCATGAAATCAACATTTACTTAAAGCAGCCATGAAATTAAAATTTACCCTATATATTTTCTAATTGTATGTTATTGATCTTATTGTTAACAATTCATCCATGCATGTTTTTTTTTAATTGGTAAAACTTTATTTAAAGCTTTTATGTATAATGCATTATAAAGGATTATAATGCATTATATTTTTTCATAAATAATTGTAGCCAAAGTTAAAATGCATTATAATATTTGCAGACTCCTTGTTGGTTGTCTGTCATCTGTTTTATTGAAATATACTTTCTAAAGGTGTAACAATGAATAGATAAGTATTATGAAGTTTTATAAATGTGGTTACAATTATTCATGAGATCATACAATAAATTATAAGGTGCATTACAAGGCATAATTAATGGGTTCAAAATTTTTTATAATGTATTAAAGGCTTTGAGTAAAGCGTTACCAAATATTTCTGACCTCATATTTGTCTTGATCTTCCAGTAAAATGACAGACTTTACAACAGTAAAATAACTATTTAGAATAGAATAAATGATATGTTAATAAATTATTTAATTGTTTTAGGCAACTATAAGCTTTTCTAAAATCAAGGCAGTAGATAATACAGTAAATTAATGCAGCATCTGTGTCTGTCCATTCAAGAAAATTCAATGGAGAAGTATATATTAGGCATCAGTGCGAAACCTGCTGACAAACATTGCTCTAATGAGAGTCCGGTGCATTTGTAACTATCTCTATCCCGTGTGCTCATTTACACTAGCCATCAGACAACAAAACGCACAAGCTTTGCCGCTCTAATTAGATGCTTCTGGTGGCGCATTTCTGCTGCTGTACATGCAGAGCATCTCAATTCTCAGAATAAATCAAACTATAATAACCTAACTGCTGCATCCCGCAGCGCAGGAGCTGCATCAGCCTCTGAGGAACATAAAGATACTTCAGCGACTCTATGGACGAGTGAAGCAGCACTACATCACCGAGTACAGAGACATCATCAAAGCCTCAGAGCTCGACTGGAGCTCTCAATGCATTTCTATAGCTCTGTTGCTCTAATTTTCTCCTGTGGAGGAAGAGGCAAGGCTACAGCTGTTGCTCAAACTTTGGGTTAGTGATCTGAAGAAAAGCCTGAAACTATGGATTAAACATTCCTTGTCCTGAATGATTCCTCAAATTGTGACTTATCAAAGAAAGGTCTGCTGCTACTTTACTAAGTGATGAATAAATGAGAGAAAAACACACAGATTTACACTGCAGAAACACAAGAACATCACAGGCTGCACAGATCAGATCTTTTTGCATGCGCTCATACGGAAATCTCATATATAGGGCCCTATATCAAGAGTGATATTGCAATATGTTAACTATAAGGTGAAATATAAAAATTGTATTTTCACATACGTACATTCTCTAGGTAGATGAAGATATAAGTTTATAACATATATAAAATCCCCATAGTAAAATTTGTATATGTACATGTTAATAATAATATGATTTTTTAAATGGTATTATATGTAGCAGATGAGATGTTTATTCATACTATTTATGACCAAAGTAGGTCTCCAGGCAAAACGTTAATGGCTTTAAAAGGACTTCAAGTGTTCAACAAACTGAGGAAAGAAATCAGTGGATACCAATGGCATTTTTCGAAATGTTCAGACAAAATACATAATGCATAATACTCTTAGAGCATGAATCCTCAGACTAAACCAAAAAAAAGAAAAAACAAAATCCTCATATTGTCCAAGCAAGCACATTCTGAAAAATCATTAAAAATGTGCTAGTGGTTACGTGATTTTAATGAAACGTTCACAGATTCAAACCTCATGAAATGGATAAGTACTGGCTGCCTCTTTCAATACCACGTCCTTGAATAAAGCACTTAACCCCAGGTTGCATCATGGGAACTCTTTAAATTAAAACTACAGTTTATGGATTTTATAACCTATCGTTCTGCAGGCAGGAATTGCACATCTAATTTCTTACTAAAGTAACAGCACACCTCTCCTCAACAAGCTGTGGAATCCTTCACGTCTGTAGTAGCAGGATGAGTTACGTACCAAAGTTTCATACTTGGGTTTAGAGGTTTGTTCAAATGACTAACCCTGAGTACAAGCAAAAATGAGAGTCCAAACAGCTGCAAAAGTAATCCACACTCCAGTCCATCAATTAATGACTTGTGAATTTAAAAGCTGCGTGTTTGTGCGAAACAAAACCATCATTAAGAAGTTTTAACTTTAAACTGTCACTTCTGGCAAAAATATAAGTCTACAATCCATAATAATGCTTCCTCCAGTGAAAAAGTCTTTATGATGGATTTGTTTCTTACAAACGCGCAGCTTTTCTCTTGACAAGATATTAACTGATGGACTGGAGTGGTGTGGATTACTTGTGGATTATTGTGATGTTTTTATCAGCTGTTTGGACTCTCATTCTGACGGCACCCATTCACTGCAGAGGATCCACTGGTGAGCAAGTGATGCAATGCTACATTTCTCCAAATATGATGAAGAAACAAACTCATCTACGTCTTGGATTGCCTGAGGGTGAGGACATTTTCAGCAAATGTTCATTTTCGGCTGAACTATTCCTTTAAGGTAACAATTGCAGGGTTTTTTTAAATAGTGTACGAGGATTACACTATATCACTGATGCTTTCTCTTAATTGGGAGGTATATTACTCCCCACCTGCCATCTTTATGACTATTGTGACAGACCGTGTAATTCAGGTTGAAGTAAGAAGTGCGGTTTAGCTGAAACAGCTGATTATACGCTGACTCTTGATGGAGGTTGTCAGAGCAAAGCACAGGTTAAAACTGGGAATTTTCTGCAGCGATAACTATATAATCCAGCACTCCTACAGGGAGTCATTTACCAGATCAAGTGGTTACGATGTGAGTCTGTGTGTGCATTAAACATGCTGATGGAGAAAAGGACAGTCGGATGAATCCCTGATGAGCACGTCATCCATTCTGTTGCATTTTAATGGAGCAGATTAAGGTGTAGCTTAAAGGTGAATTGTGTAATTTTTTGATTGAAATACATTCGCTTGTAATGTGCTGCAACTTTAATAGGAAATCAGACTGATTTTCACCTGGTAGACTATAAGACAGATCATAAAATCCCACAGATTGACATTTAATGAGGGATTAGAGCACTGTACTTTGCACCAGGGTTATTATAACTAAAAATAAAACCATAAAAAATTTTGAACGCACCATAAGCCTTTTTCGGCAAGCGCGTCTGATTTCGCTCCCTTGGTGACGTGGCAAAGGGATCTCATTATAATATTACCGGCCCTTAATCTGTACGTTTCCACCCACGGCGCCGTCATTTTGATTTAAAGGGGCATAATATGTCACCTTTAAAATAATATATCAAAAACGTATTTTATTTCAGCTAATTAAAAATAATTGCATTTAATAATTACAACATAAAACCTCATTGAAAAATAGATCAAATAAAATTATTACAATTATTAAATTAAAATGATATCCAATAAAATGTAAAAATTCTAATAAATTAAATAAAAATTTGAAATTATTCAAATAAAAATTACAATAGTATCTCAATGACACTAAAGTAACACTGATACAAAAAAATCTATATGCAAAATAAACAAATTATAAAAAAAATAGACTTTTGCCAGTAACCATCCACCCAAAACCCCCAGCAAAGCCCTAACAACCACACAGAAATCCCTAGCAACTGCATAGCAACGACAAATTTTTCCGATGCAAGCACCACTCACGTTTTCTTCCAAAGAAATGTACAAATCAATTTTTTGTTGTACAGAAATTACTATTATAATAATTGCAATTACAAAAATAATAATAATAATCCAAAACCTACTTTAACAAGCAATCTTTAAGAAACCATCAGGTTAGGATTCCTGCAAAATAAAATACTTCAGTCATCTGAAGAAAGTCATGTGCTAAACATTTTCTTGCTGGCTTTTGTTCACAATGCAAAATTTAAAATAATGCATCTTTTCCAGACCTTTTTAGTCTAGATCTTTATTTAGTGTGCATACAACACTGCTTGTTTTTTGTTAACACAAAAGTTGCAATGTTAATCACAAACTGGGGTGACCTAGAAACCGGAGTAATCAAGATAACAGCCGCCGGTGCCCTTGAGCAAAGCACTTAACCTCAGGTCGCTGCAAGAGGTCCGTCCCTGAAATTAGCAAATCGCCTTGGATGAAAGCAATTTTTAAATATCAACTATAAAGCGAATCCCATAAAAGCAAATCCATGAACTATGAGCTAAACCTGCTATATAAACTCAGCAAAGATTAATTCAGTGCCGCTGAAGGTCAGCATGATGCTGAAGCAGGTTAAAAGAGCCTCGTCCACAGATGCTGATTCCTAATGACCTCCTTTCTGCTGAGATGTCATATTCTCAGATCTCCAATTAATGCTTAGATTAGCTCTCGGTCCCTCCGTCCTGTCAGTCTGCGTTTCTTTGATATTTCGTCCCAGCAGGCAGTGGTATGCGGGAGATGTTTACACTCCAGACAGTGAGATGATGAAGCTGTCTGAGACATGCACAATCACGCTTGGTAAACCCTGAATGCTATTGAGATTCTGAACACTCAATTATAATTAATTACGGAGACCTTAAAATAAGCTCCTTAAAGGTGAATTTGCTCATTTACTCATCCGTTCCAAACTTGATGAGTTCCTTTCTTATGCGGCTAACTAAAGATGCTTAGTATGTCATTTCCTATACAACAAAAGCTCCAAAAAGGACAAAAAAAGTGCTAAATAGTATGATGTATGACTGTACCAAATCAGATATAATAATTTTTTGTTACTTGAAATAAAATGAAATGTTTTTAAAGACTTAATTGTATTTTTTTTCCATCTAGTTGCCAAGGATGTTCCAAAATCATTAAAACTAAAACATAAATCATTCAAAACATTAAAAAAAATGTAATGTTATCTCGATGAACTCAAAACAACAAACTGTACATTCAAGCCTGCATCTTTAAGACACTTTGTGCCAGACAGATAGATAGACAGATAGATACAGAAGGCTGTGATTCATTGCTGATTCAGACTATGAATAATGACTCATCATGGCTTGTGTTATTTTTACCTGTACAATACAATACAATACATCTTTATTATCAAACATGGTTGAAATTTTTCTTTTGACCACACCAGCAATACCAGACACAAACACATGCCACATAACACAAATAAAAACCACCATACAAAATCATATTACCTTTGATTAATAAATCCAACCGCAGCAGGTACAAATGATCTTTTGTATATATTTCTCTTTGCTCTAAGCATTAAAAATCATCTCCCAGAGGCCAATAGAACAAACTGGTCATACAAAGGATGAGTAGAGTCTTTTAGAGTACACTCTGATTTTTCCAACACATCTTGAAGTGTACACCTCACCTAAATTACTCGGTGGTCTGCCGATGATTTTGCTGGCTATATTAGTGACACTTGCCAGGTTATTTTTCTGCTTGCAGGTAAGGTGCCCATACCAGGAGATTCAGTTATAGGTCAGCACGCTCTCAACCAATAATTTGGAGGCAATCTCCAGTATGTTCTGACTCTCTCCAAACCTACAGATTCTCTGTATTAAAAACAGATGTTGCATGCATTTAAAAAAAATATATATATATATATATATAATCAGTGTTAAACACAAAACTCAGTTTACTATCTATTGTATATATGTGCCAAGATATTTAAAATGATCAACAATCTCAACTGGGTGACTACCTATCATTACAGGCACAACTGCAACTCCCTACCTAGTATGATCGATTACTAATTCCTTGGTTTTATTTATATTTAACATCAATGCACTATTATTACACCAGCACAGGAGTTCCTCAACATGTTTCATATATTCAACCGAGTCATTTATATCATCTTTTTGAAGAAGACCTACCAAAGCCATATCATCTGCATACTTAAAAAAAGGTTAAAATAAGAATTACGAATCATAAAATCATTCATGTACAATTACAATAATATAGGTGATATAACACTTCCTTGAGGGGCCCCCGTATTCTGTGTATACCATCTTTCATATCCATATGCCAAAGAGCTCTGTGTACTTTTGTTTTCGGACGCATTATTCCCACATACACCAATTGGATCAATTATTAATTTGCCAAATGGAACATTACAGGTTTGGTGCTTATTTATTTATGTTTTAACGCCATATCAGCAACAATGGCTAAATTCATGGCAGCATTAACAGTATCATTTCAATACATCGTTTACAATAATATAACATTTTCTTAAGAAGCAATCACTATACAAAAACATACAATAGTACTGATAAAAATCATACAGAATATTTCAATTTAATCAATGATAAAATTTTAAAAATTCTTCCGGGAGAGACCTTTTTAAAAATGTCTTTTAGTATATTTTCTGAGTAAAAACATTGTCTAATGTTATTTAAAATGTGATATTCTATTTAAATATCTTTTACACTCAAAAAAATTCTTACAGAAGTCTGGTTTCTCTTCCCCTTTCAATAAATATTAATTTAAATGTCCAATTCAGCATCTTGTATATACAACCTGGTCATATCTATTTTCAAAACAGTAATTACTTCTTTCATTTACTACTGGATTCACCTCATATAGTTTGTTGTATATGCATTCATTCCATTCCATTCGCCATTTATTATTAATGTACATATTCAGTATAGATTTTACATCAGATACTGGAATATTACATTCTGTTATTTGCAACTGAAGAGCTTCCTTAGCTGCTTTATCTGCCTGTTCATTGCCGACCAATCCCATAGGTTTGGTGCTAAAAGGTGCTGCATTGAGTTTTTCTGTGTGAAAGTGTCAAGGTTAAATAAAGAGCTTTCTAACAGACGAGAAACAGAAACATTCAATACATCATGACAGATAAGCACCTTAGACTCTAAGAACAGTGTGAATAAGCACCGCAGACGAATTAATGAGAGAGTCAACAGTGACTTGAAATTATCCTGACCAAACAAATGAGAGCGTGCAGCTGAGAAAGTGTTCACTTTAAAGTACAGCTTGCTACCGAGTCATTTCGACTGTGCTATTATACTTCAGTCTGTCAGATTTAATAATCAGTGTTACTGAACACACCGAAAATCATGAAGATGATTACTGACTTGACGAAGAAACCTACACCTCTTCCTCCCACAGAAAAACACGGCTCAGCTGTCAACAGAGCAGGAGCACTCCGAGAACACCTCAGACGGGATAAAAACACCACTGCAATTGCTACGGAGACCCAACAATGCCTGTATTTCCTGAAACAGATTAGGAGATTTGGGCAATCACAATTACCAGATGGTAATCCTAAACCTAACCTCCTAAACTCACAGACATAGAGTGTGATTTGGACAAATCAACACAGTCACAGCTATCTGTGCTACTGTAACAATCTATACAGTTGGGTCTAAATCTGAGAACACTTAAAGATGCTCCTATTATGTATTTTGTCTAGGTTTATAAAAAAAAATTCAGATTGCACCAGCATGACAATTTGAATTAAAGTAGAAGGAGATCACATGATTGGTGTGACTAATTCACTTACATTTGTTGTAGAAAAGTTGTAGAATATTTTATATATCTTATATATTAAGAGAGAGATATGGATATGTAGATCATATCTTACATCAGGGTTATTACAGTTAACTAAAACTATTAAAAAAAACATTATTGTTACTTGAATTAAAATAAACATTAACTGACAATTTCATTTCAGCTACTTGCCAAAAGCCATTTACTTGATTTACTAAAATAACTAAAACTTGAAATAAAAATGAATAAAAACTATGTATATACGTTTTTTTTATTAATTTTCACTTAATTAAACTATATTTAACATTTAAACAAATAATAATTAATAAACAAAAACACAACAAAATTACTAAAACTTTAACTAAAACTAAAACGAAAGTAAATAAAAATACAAAAATAAAAAAATAATTAAAAATAATAATAATAGTATCTCAATGATCCTAAAATAATGTCATATAACATTACAAAACTTTTTTTCTGTTCTAAATGTGTCTATATCGTAAAACTTTCAATTCAGTTTAAATAATGATTTTCAATGTGGTCTAGGACCCCACTGTATGGATCACAATATTACAAATACTACAAATGTACAACCATTTACTGCGTGAGGTCCTGCAAATTGGTTGTGGGACGTTAAATGGGCCAACACTGCACTCTGTTGACACAAAATGAAAACTAAATATGACATAATACCTTTCTAGTCCATCACATCGCTTTCAAACTACTATGTTGCCTTTTCTCATATTACATCAAATAAATGAATACATTCTTACAGACCTACATCTTAGAGTCCCCTCCGGTCAAACAGCGGATCTCAGTATAAGCGACGCTTCATGGCCCGGGCTGCGTGTCTACTTAATAAATCTCTTATTTTAATTCTTCACTGTGTATTTTTGATTAAATGTATAATAAAGTTTCTTTGTGTCACTATCAGCTGTAAATTATTATCCAACCCACCGCTGAAGTGCTAAAAACAAACGACTGTGATTGGTCCATCCTGACAGCGATGAGAAAAGTAACAGTAACTTTTCTCCATGCTGATCATGGTGGAATTGTTTTTATTACATTTCTTTTTGCTTTCATTATTTATCATATCTATTTTATATATATATATATATATATATATATATAAATATTTTATATATAAACAAAACATATTTTTCTTAAATATATACATGCATATGTGTGTATTTATATA